TTTTTTTCAAGGACAAGATGTTAACAACCATTTTAAAATGCTAGTAAAATAATTAAAAGTTGAATGACTATCCCAAAGATGTTTTTTCAAAAGGCAACTGGACTTTCTTTGTTCTTCCTTGAAGACATTTCACTTCTCATCCAAGAGGTTCTTCAGTTCTGACTGAATGGTGGAGAATGGAAGGATTTATATTCCTATAAATATTTCTGTATGACACCACCAATCTCCTGTTTACAAAACAGTTCTTTCAGAAAACTAGAAAAAGTCCAGTTGCCTTTTGAAAAAGCACCTTTGGGACAACGATGACTTGGATGACTGAGAATCTCCATAGACACGTTGAGTGACTATTTGCATGAGAGGTATATATCTGAATATCACTGAGTCCTACAAAAACTCAGTACATTCTGCATATTTTGGGCCAAAGTAACCCATTTGTTCTTAAATTTCTTGTTTGAAATACATTATTAGTATAAAACTTGTTTGCCAACTGTTGGGAAATTAAAAAGAGAAATTCACCCTGCTTCAGTCCACCTTCTGTAGAGGAGGAGAAAATAAAAGCAATCTATATAACATGATAATTTTCAGATTAAATCTGCCAGCTACAGTGATTTCAAACTGATACAAATATAGTCAACTTTGGATAGAGTTTACTTTGTTGCTTACAAACTACTGTACTTTGCAGGGCGCATACACTAATTTACATGGTTCTGAAGCCATTGTTCCTTGTTTACTTATTATTTACTTAGCTTAGTTATTACATACAACAATCTATCCCAAAGCAGCTTGCTATAAGGACAAGATAAATAGAGATAGTCCTCAAGTTATAATTATTTGTTTAGTGACCATTCAAAATTATAATGGCAGTGAAAAAGGTGTCTTATAACTAGTCCTCACACTTACAACTGACATAGCATCCTGTCACATGATCAAAATTTGGGCACTTGGCAACTGACATATATTTAGGATGGTCACAGTGCCTTGAGGTCATGTGATCATTATTTGTGACCTTCCCAGTCAGCTTCTAACAAGCAAACTCAATGGGGAAAGCCAGATTTGCTTAATTACTACATGAGTCACTTAACAACTGCAGTGATTTCTTTAACAAGGTAAAATCAGGCATGACTCACTTAACAATGGCCTTGCTTAGCAATTGTCCCAAGTGTGACTGTACGTTGAAGACAAACTAATTAATGACACTGGCATGTTGCAACAGTATGTGGGGATAAGCTTGGGTTATGGGAGGGGGAAAGATGCTGCCAGAGAGAAAGTGGAAAGTTTGTACTATGAGACTTACAAGATTCTGTTAATGTAACCTCACAGTTAAGTAGAATTAGCTCATCTGATCATATTTCCCCATCTCATTTACCTGGAAATGCTGATATTAATTTTGAGTAGAAACCATGTGTGTGTGTTACAGGGTGGATTTGATTTAAATCAGCTAGATTTAAATCATATTTTTTAAAGAACAACTGTCATCTCTGTCCTGCAGCGGCTCCTCCTCTGACCTGCTGTTGACTTACGGACAGTCCCACTCACTTTAATGACACAAGGGGAGGGACGTGGCGGGCAGCAGGCGAGGGGATGCCCGCTAACAGGCGCTGCCATGATGGATTTGAAATGACAGGTACTCTTTAAATGTAAGGACTCGTTCTTGCTGGTAGTTAGAATCTTTAATATTATTATTTGGAAACAAAATGAAGGTTTCCTATTTAGAATAATAAACTGTCAGGTTAGTAAACCAGCAACATCAGAACTGATTTTAAGTTAATAACATATAGTTGGAGAACTACTCAAATTCTTTTATTTAATTAAAACACTTAGAGCCTGGTACAGATACATTTCTTTTCAAACAAGCATACAGTTTGTAGTGTACATAGATTTGCAAAACAATGGGATAAAGAAATATTCCTGAACTTTATGATTTATCTCATGGTTACTGTGAAATTGTGTGAATGCATCAATGCAGTGCATGTTATCTCAGCTTGTAGAGCTTGGATTCACTGAATGAGTTTACCAAAAATGTAAATATTGCAGAATATACAGCCTCATGCTACATAACTAAGCTCCACTTCATGCTGAATAAACTAAATTATTAATGTATCTTAAATAGAAAACTATATTTAGATATTTACTCCAAAAGCATTTTATTAAAATAAATTTGATAAAAATAGAAAAAAATCCGATTTAAATAAAACAAAATCTGATTTTTTTGATTTTCTTTAAAAAAATCATTATTATCCACCCTGGTGTGTTAATGCATATGTGCACACAAGGGGAGCCAGTTTTATCTAGGTAGCCAGTTTGATGTAGTGGTTAAGGCACCAAGTTAGAAACCAGAAGACTAAGTTCTGATCCCACCGTAGGCTTGAAAGCCGGCTGGGCGACTTTGGGCCAATCATTCTCTCTCAGCTCAATTCACTTCATAAGGTTATTGTTATGAGGAAATTAGGAGAAGGAAGGAGTATTAAGTAGGTTTGTTGGCTTGAGTTTTTTTATAAAGGTCATAAAGGCAGGATAAAAAATTCTATATCAATCAATCTCCCGCTGTCTCTTTTACAGCTTGAGAAGTTGGGGAGGTTCCTTTCGGAGTCTCTGTCCCTTATGCAGTCGCAAGCTATGCCTTCTCTTGTTTGATCATTCCCTAGGCCAGTGGTTCTCAACCTGTGGGTCGGGACCCCATTTGGGGTCAATCGACCATTTCATGTGGGTCGCCAAGCAAGGCTGTCCGCCATTTTTTTTGTCCACCATTTTTTTCCCCTTTTCCGGCGGGTGCCTTACCTCCCTTGAGCTGGGCCAGCTGGTGGTCGGCCTGCTCCGTCTCTGCCGCTTGCCAGCTACGCCTCGGCCGGCGCAGGGGGTGGAACCACGCATGCGCGGCGCTCCCGGGCAGGGAAAGTCCTCGACTTACGACCGGTTGGGTAGTCCTCGACTTACGACTGGTTTAGTCCTCAACTTATGACCGGTTTAGTCCTCGACTTACGACCAGTTGGGGTCGCGGCATTAAAAAGGTTGAGAACCACTGCCCTAGGCTGCATCTTTTCTCTCCACCTCCTAAAGTCATTACATATATTTACGTATGCAAAGTTTTCACTTTGTAAGGATCTATTTGGAAATATACTTTAAACATATACCTTACACAGTTCCACTATATTCAATGTACAATACAAAGATTTTTTTTATTAAGTACATGATTATAAAGAAATAAGCTCATCTGTTTGTCCAGAAAAAACTTAATGCAAACTTTTTTAAATCCCAAAGGACAGCTTAACTGGGACAGGACAAAAAATATAAATAACGTATTATCACTTTGCCCTTGAGAAATCAGTCCCATCCTAACATGTAGAAAAATGGTATAAATTATTAGAATGCTAACATTCTATTGAAAATCAGTGGAATTTAAAAGCGATTTACAGAATTGCAATAATAATGTAGGTTCAAAACATAAAGAACTCTCTGTAACCATGGATTTACTTCTTGTACATTTTGGGAGGTGAACATTTACTTTAAGAAATGTATTCACAGAGGACAGCTGTTTCCTAAACAGCTCTAAAATAGGAGCCCAGGGTATTTCAATAAGCATTTTCAAATGTTTAATGAAGTTTTCAAAAATTATAGAGAAACTGCTTACTTGAATTGAGAAGAAACCACTATCATCCATGTTTCCTGAAGGCTGCTGTTCAACAAAGAATGCAAAGGAAAGAAGATTAATTTATGTGCTACAGAAACTTTTGGAAAATCATATGTAGAGAATAAATTCAGTTACTCTTAGTAAATCTAAAACTTTACTCTCTCTAAAAATACTTTTAATGAACCATTCTGAACAAGTGTGACATTCTGGGATTTATTTACAGGTTATGTCAATAAGAAACAACAGATAAACTATGCATACAGACAACACCAGGCAAATACAAGAACCTAGTGGTCAGTATAGTAGCCTTTCTCATTTTGCTCTTTATATACTCATTTGTGGACATCAATTTAAAAGCAGTTTGGGACAAAATAAATTCTGTACCTGAAAAAAGTCTTTAAAAATATTAAACAGGAACTTCACTGAGAAATTGACAGTAATTCTAATATATCTTGAGGATGCTATTCTAGGAAGGAGAACAGATAACTTTACATTTCATCATTATGAAATTCAGCTTCAATATAAACTCTTTCAGTAAGAAAATATATAGAACAAAAGCTGACAAATAAATGTAAATACACCCGAAGAGCTGTTACCTGTAAAAATATTCTATATTCTTCGCTAGAAACTCCACCCTCTGCCATTCTTATTCTCTCTTCTTCATCTAACTGCTGTGCAATAGAAGACAGTTCCACAGGACTGAAATACTCTCCTTGCAGTAAGTTATTCAAACAGTGCTGGGCACACAGAGAACCTTCTTGCTAAATTATGAAAAATTAAAAAAAGAAAAAAATAGTGTTTTCATGTTTATTGTTCAAAAAATAGAGCAAATATAATCATTGAAGTTACCCTGCTTCTATTTTTAGCCAGAGATAGTGAAACAGATACATTGCGATAGTCCTTCGTGATTTCAAGAATTTTTATGTTTTTAACATATTTTGCACTATATTTTAATGCATTTATATCAATTTGAATTATTAAATGAATACACTGTACATGGTGTTTTAAATAAAGCTCATTGTTTTAATTAAAGTACTTAGCTAAAATTATGCACATGCATGCATATGTACTTCTACACATTTATATAAGTATGTACCCAAACGAGTCCAACTAGTTTTGCATGCAATTTTAGAAACACATTCATAATCTTTATCATGTTTCTTAAATCACATCTTTAGTTTTCCAACATACTTTTTTATTGTTCCTATCACATTAAGCCATACATACTACTGACTACAACCTATTTTTATTACCCATTACCAAGAGAAAATATGCACATCAGTCAGCTGTCTGATATATATATCTGGTTTAGTGCTAAAAACAATTTTAATGAAAAATTAATCAAGAAAATCAGAAATATGCATTTATAATATATAACATATATCTGTTTCTAAACATAAAAGTTGCATCTATTCATAAGGACTGAAGTATAGGTAGTAACAAAGCAGAAGAGCTTTAGTAGAAATCATGATCAACAACAGAATCATATTGACTATGATTTAATTAGTCTTCCTGACTGATATAAATCAATATGACCAAACTTTTCCAGCATTAAATACCTCTCAGTATCAGTTGCTAAACAATATAGATGACAAAGTGCTACTACACTCACATTCTGCTTGAAGGCATTTGGTAGCCCTTTGAAGAAATGAGACTAGCCTCTTAATACAGCTCTTCCTCTAATCTCTAAACTAAACATGCCTAAAAAAAGCATTTCTATACATTCCAGTGTAATAAATCTTTTTTTTCTTCACACCAGAGACACCCAACCCTCTGGGATGATAGGGACATGCAACTCTTGGGAGGGGGAAAGCAATTAGCAAATTCGTGTTATGCTTAAAAAATGTTCTTCCTTAATAGCTAGATTAGTTTGACACCATTACTTAATAATGCTATTAAATTCCTGCCCTCTTTCAAAACCTCAGAGAAAAGCTATCGATAGGAAAAGGACCAAAATATATCATCGCCTTCAGAATCAATCTGAAATGTAACATTTTGTCTTCCCAAAAAATTACATCTAGAGATTTCGTACTACACAAAACAAAGATTAAAAAGAAATCTAAACTATTCTCTTCCTCCAGCAGCAATTATTCAGGTTATACATAAAAGTTGAGGTTTAAGAAAAAAAAGGGATCGTATTAATGACAGAGATGCATTGGGCATACACAGTTTCAAAACAACCGGTTCCATCAGCAAGGCAGGAAGCAAAATCACGCACTGTATCATACTGCATGTATAAACATGAATAGCTGAAATGAAACAAGGAGTGTATACATTCCGTGAAATAGAATAAAGCAGTATCTCATTAAACAATGTTAGCGTTTGGTAAGACTAATTCATATGTTCCTGTCCTCCATGTTAAGCTCCCACTTCCTTGTTTTCTGCTCAATGATCCTGCCAGCACGGTTAGGGCGATGATGCTCCGAAAAAAAATTCACTAATAAGCATGGGAGAGAAAACGCCTCCTTGCCCATCACCCAGTTACAGGGGTGTACCCTGAAAGCATTGCCTTAAACCAGTGTTTCTCAACCTTGACAATTTTAAGGCATGTGGACTTCAACTCCCAGAATTCCACAGCCAGCATTGCTGGCTGTGGAATTCTGGGAGTTGAAGTCCACATGCCTTAAAATGGTCAAGGTGGAGAAACACTGCCTTAAACAAACGCGAACGCTTAGCCTTACGAAACAGGCGACAGAAAGAAAACAATTTTTCAGAGCTCCGACTTTTTATCGTTAACAACCACAATCCTCCCCCCCTACCTATTGGAAACCTCACACCTTTCGCCCGCCTTGCCTTTTGAAGTACCTCAGAGTCACAAGAAATTGCCTTTATTCTTTACTCTTCCCCTCTGGGCTTGAATATCAAGTGTAAAATAGTAAAAAGCGGAGATTTTCGTAGACATCCCAGCCTCTGAACTACCCAAGCAACCGAAACAGCGAAGTTTCGCTGCCGGGCAATCTCCCACGCGAGCCGCCTTTCTTTCCTCTCGCTTCGCCCTCTTTTTAACCTCACACACCCACTTTCTTTGAGGGGAGGCAAAAGGCTTCACTTACCCTCTCGTGAAAGATGGCCTCCATGTTTATGTGTCTCCACCACCATCGGCTTCCATACCACATGGTCCGGCCCAGCCAATCAAGCCACGCTCTGCTCCGTGACCCGCTGCAGCCAATCGCCGAGGCCACCGCTGCGCTGACCTGCCTCAATGAGCGCAACAAACGCCTCGGAGCCCATCGCAACGCTCTGAGGTCGTGCTCCGGCGCCTCAGGGCTCCTCCTGAGGGAGGACAGCGGACAGCGCCGGAAGGGGGACCTTGTTCATTCGGGCGGGCTCGCACCGTACCGCCAGCGGGCGACAATAGGAAAAGAACACAACTCTATTTGCGTACTGTATTTTGGTCGGAATAGTAGCACAATAAGAGCTGGAAGGCACCTGTAGGTCATCTAGTCCAGGGGTCCTCAACCTTGTCAACTTTAAGACTTGTGGACTTCAACTCCCAGAATTCCTCAGCCAGCAAGGCTGGCTGAGGAATTCTGGGAGTTGAAGTCCACAAGTCTTAAAGTTGACAAGGTTGAGGACCCCTGACTAGTCCAATCCGCTGAGACTCTACCCCATTTTTGACAAATGGCTGTCCAGTCTCTTCTTGAAGCCTCCAGTGATGAAGCGCCCACAACTTCCGAGAGTAAGCTGTTCCATTGGTTGATTGTTGGAACAATCAACAATTGGTCACAATGGTTTGCTATCGTTGCGGTTTTATATTAACGGTTTTTTCCTTTTGATGTGCTGGGCTGCCAAATGTGGTTTCTTGTCATTCTCTTGGTTTAACGGTCACCAGAACTTTGGCAGCTAAGATGTAGTAGCCCTAGATTTAAAGATTAAAATAATCTTTTGTGGGGTTGTGCTCAGTTATAGTGTGATGAGTACGCATTTGGAAGACTTTAAAACAGGTTAAAGGGGGGGGGGGGAAACCAGGTTACTTTTGGAAGAAAAAGACATCTGCCTACCCAGCCAAATCAACAATGACATTGAATGGAGTAATAGATGTCAGTTTGTCTAACATCCCAAAGACACTTAACTTATGTTCTGTTTTGCTGGGGCTCTTTCAGTAATTACAATTGGCTGGATTTATGATATGTGCCAAAACTGAAAAAATCATAGTCTAGCATACTAAGGTTTTCTAAAAGCACATATTCAATACGGCATATAAGTAACAGAAACCAAATATTTTAAAGAAATAAATATTACAAAATATTATTATAAAATGTAAAGGTATCAATATTTTGTAAAAACAATACATGTTTTAAATCTGTTTCAAAGTACTTTTATTTAAATGCACAAAAAGATCTTACCAATTGTCAAGGAAGAAATTCCAGAAGAATTTATGCAGAAAACATACATAATTTCCGATCCCTACCAACTACAATCCTATGGTTTACAGGATGTAACTATAGCCTCTGAAGCTAACTGTTCAGGTTCTGAGAGACAGTTTCTCAGGAACATTCTGTACCAACCTGCTTAATACTATCACCTGTACTTCAAATTGTATGTTTGAATTACATTATATAGTTGGGGCTACATAGTTTTTTAGTAATCATACTTTGAACAAAGGTAAGACTAGATTCTATTTTCATTATGGAACAATCACTTATTCAAACAAACTATAGGAGAAGCAGTTTGACACATTATTTCCATATGGCATCTTGACCAGGTTTCAATTCCCTATAAAAAGAAAAGAAAATATTACAAGTTTAAAAATAAATTATGCCAGATTAGTACATTATACATTTAAAAATAGGCTTAAATGGATAGGTATTCTCTATATATAATTATATGGAGAACTAGCTTGTTCTTGCAAATATTTCTGAAGTTTTCCCCCCATTTGGTATTTATTTTTTATCCCACTTTTATTGTTTTTTATAAATAACTCAAGGCAGTGAACATACCTAACATACACTCTTCCCCCTATTTTCTCCACAACAACAACCCTTTGAGGTGGGTTGGGCTGAGAAACAGTGATTCGCCCAAAGTCACCCAGCCACCTTTCATGCCTAAGAAACAACTAGAACCCAATCTCCCAGTTTGTAGCCTGAGTTCCCCATATTGTATACATCTAGAAAAAAAGATTATTTGAATTTTCCAGTTGCAAAACCTATTTCGTCCCTCTCCATCCACAGCTGCATGTATGTGGAATAAAATGAGGATATAAATGGATGGAGAAAGCTAAGTCTTCCTTCATTCAATGTACAGTGCTTTGATTTCAGCTGGCTCATATTTCCCCCCAAATTATAAAGCAATAGGAATAGCATTCAGATAGCTACCAAAAAGATTAACTGCAATGTTGTCCAAGATGGTACTCCTGATATAATTGGGGCAGATGATTCTCTCAATTGTGTAACAGAGAAAGCAAGCTAAGTCACCTATTTTTACTAACTGTTCTGTAAATATATTCCAAGGCTAAGCAAGGATTGAAGGGTAAGAGGGAGAAAAACTTTTAAAGCACTAAACAATCTGATACAAAAGTTGAAACTGTTTAAGGAAATTTGCAGCATTTGCAAGAGGCAATATCTTATTTTAAATTCTAGAATTGGGAAAAAAATAACAGGCAAATCTTTCTTTACAGATAAACTTAAAATCAACAGGATAATACAAGCAAAGGAAGTTATGGAAGCAATGGCAAAGGGAACATCCTAATAAGTTTTAGTACAGTAATCAAGAGGTGAAATAATTAAGTCTGCTAATTCACAATACTTATTGAAATATAGGTACGCAACAAAAGTTAGTAACAATGAAAAAGAAAGGAAGGAAAGTCAAGTATAGAAGAAAAAGAAAATGAGGTAAATTTGTCATTTTCTAAAGCCCAAAGTAGCCATGAGTAAAACAAAGGAAATGAGAAGAGGCATTTTTTGGAGCTAAAGTAGCAAAAAATAAAATATAACAAAAGAAAAAAATACTACATAGGAATATGACATTTTCAGAATCTTGTACTTGGTTCTAAACTTTTTAGGATGAAGATAAATACTATTATAGGCTCATAAATAAAGCCGTCATGCAGAGATTCATTTCCATAATCATGGTATCCATGCTCAGAAATACTACTACTCTCCCAAATTCAGAGGGGGTCTACTGCAGCCTACTGATAACAAATTTCTTTGTAAAGGTTGGAAATAGGTTTTTCCCACCATCTTTCTACATATATTTTAACTGAATATTATTTTATATTCTTTTAATTATATATTATGCATGTACCTGTTTCTATTATGAACTTTTTCATCAATAAGGATGAATATCAGCAAGTATGTCTAGGAACATAGTAACCATATTCTGTACTATGTAAAGCTTCAAACCATATTTGAACCAATATTACACATATATTACAATATAAATTCTTTAAACAAAGAATTTAATAATTGTGATCTTTTACACACATAAATGAAAATGCAGCAACAGCTATATGTACCAATAACTTTCCTCAAATATACTTTTCAGAAGCAATTTTATAATCCAGAAAGAAAGAGATTGTAAGAAATCAATTAAAATAATTAACCTTTCATATAATTTGCTCTTGTTTCTGAATATTGCCATTTTCTCATCATTCTTCTTGTCAAAGTACCATCCCACCAAAAATCCTATGGGACACAATGCAAGAGGCCAGTGATCTCGCACCAAGTGGATAACATTCATGGTAGTTACTATGGGGAAAAAAAGGACAAAGAAAGGATTACAAGTAACGGCATATTTTTGCATGAGCATCATTACTTATAATAAAACATGAGACCAGCAAGTTCATGGTTATTGTGAAACAAGTCCTATTGGATTGATGTGAATTAAGGAGGAAACATTACATAACATTTTATGTGGAAAATATTTTATTGTAACTTAAATTTTGCCTGGAGCATAGAAGGTGGTATAGAAGTATCCATAAATGCTGACATTTGTAAAATGATGAAACATGCATGGGGATGTCACAAAGCAAGCTTGCCTCTCACATATGATGCAAATACACAAGGAGCCAAGTTTGTATCAAATGTATCCATCATTTGCCAGGCTTGCCCCCATAGAGACTTCCTTGTAATAGTAGAACAAGTCAAAGGAATTACAGTTGATGAAAAATTAATGTAATTGAAATGTGCAAATCTTGTGCCATAAATCCCAAATAGGATTACAAAATACATACATGCAGTATGTATTTTGACATTATTTACTATATGCCATTTTGTAAATTTAGTGTCATTTACTATAGTATAATACAGGTTAATGAAAAGCCAGAAACAGCTAATAATAGTACTTTGAAGTGTCATTAAAAAGAATCACCAACCTGCCCTTCAATCAGAACTGCAAACATTTCCCTTAACAACTTACCTCATCCAATTAAAAAAAAAAAAACTTAAAAAAAATCTGGGAGCTGCAAAAAACAAAAGGCCACTTTCCACCAGTTTTATCCAGTGTTTTGGTATTGTTTAAGTTTTAATTATAAGTTAAAGTGTGAGATGGGCGGCTATATAAATTGAATCAATCAGCTTTATTTCTAAGAATCTACAGACTCCACCTATATTCTTAGAAAGTAAAAAAAAAAAAAAGATGACTGCAGCCCAATGCTTTGCTTGAAAGTGTGAACAGGCGAATATATATGATTTATGTGAATTCCTTTTCTATTGCAGAGTTGTAGCATTGTGAAATGGGCATTTAATTCCCAGCCTGCTCCAGATACAAAAAAGGTGTCTAGCTCCTTCCCATGGGAGAAGCTTATTACAGTGTTTCTCAACCTTGACAATTTTAAGGCATGTGGACTTCAACTCCCAGAATTCCACAGCCAGCATTGCTGGCTGTGGAATTCTGGGAGTTGAAGTCCACATGCCTTAAAATTGTCAAAGTTGAGAAACAGTTATACTAGGAAGAAGTCCCCTTCCCCAACCTAATTTGCCCAGAATATGATTGTACGCCCTGAGCAACTAACACAGGAATACACCTTATGTGGGCATAGGTGGCCATCCCCTATGATAGGAAGCTACACATGCATCCAGTCTGAATTAGTGATTGAAAAATTACAGTGATAGAAGCTCCAAATCTTCCATGGTATATGGCTTGATAC